AGCTGTGTTTAGAGCTGACCGTGGAACCTCTGTGCAAAGTTGTAGCGGTTGTTTGCGCTGTTCAAACGCTGAACATATGGACACTTGACATGGTCATTTCAATCTCTAGTCTAATTACAATCCGCTTGCTAATACCGATGTACGATATCACAAATGCATCGAGATGCGACGTATCCAGCATTAGTCCACGCTTATGCTACATTTACCTAATAATAATACAAATTGCGAATCGATTCGATACAACAAAATAGCAAGCACCAATCACGCCAACGATTGAAACAGCACTCTCTTGAATTTTTAAGCTGTATCTTGTGAAATAACTTGTCAGACTTGCACCACAGGATTGTCCGTAATATGCTAATCTGCTTAACAGCGATCAATTATAACACACCTACGAGATCCTCACAATTGCATAACTGTCATACCGCAACGACAACAACAAAAATGCTCAGAAAAAGCAAGCAAAAATAATCGAGATCTGTATTCTGCAGCAGCGCAAATAGTGTACAATATAGTAGATTCACTGAGAGATCGAATTTCTGTGAGATACTGATGCTGCTATATATCCAGCAGTGCATCGCAGCTAGAAGGAACTGCGCGCTTGGATCTTCTGTCCAGTCGAGCGTCCACGCGAGCCCGACAAATTGACCAAAGTAAGCTTTGAATTTGGACGGCGCAGACTTGTGGCACGGACGTTGCTCTGAGGAGACGTCACTGTGTTAGCGTACGGGTCGGTTGCAATATAGGGTGGAAATGACGGCTATGAGTCTAGTTAGTGCAAGTTATCGATCGCAGTCAATCGGGCTTCAGACTCCCACATGACATCAATATCATAGCTTGAGCGCATCTCTTCTACGTCATCTTCGTAAGAATCTGGACGTGATGATGACGATAGCTGATAATGCATCACAAGAGCTGACAGCGTCGGTGCAGTCTTATACGAAAAGGTAGAGGAACTCGACTTCCACGTAGCCGCTGGTATAAATTGGAACGAACATACGCCAGTTTCGGCAAAGTTCATTCCACCAATCTCACTGGCCGGGCTCGATGAAGGGGCGGTATTCATTTACCCGGATTGCTTCAAAGTCTTTGCGGGAGGAGATGATGCTAAAATAGACGCGGTATAAACATCCGTAGTTGGTGATGAGGAAGTATGTTGCCGCGTGGCTTCCTACCAAGAAACGCCTGAGGGGCCAGAACACAGGCGTGAGTAGATTGTCGGGTACATAATGCGCATCACTTGCCGATAAATGGCAAAGATAATCCAATAATAACTTTTAAAAAAAATTCTAAGATTGGTAGGGTTTAATTGCATAAGTTATAGAAGGAAGGGAGTGTATTTAATAAAAAGGGGGTGGATTTAGCAATTCCCTTTTTATGTTTTGGTCGGTCAATGATGAGTGCATTGCAATTACCAGTATATGGAGTGTGGGGATAGCAAAAGGTGGGTGGGTGTATAATTACTCTCTTTATTCTTAAGCCCTTAGTTTATCAAACATGACTAATCCTTTCGCTAAGTGATTTAAGATAGGCTAGCGAGCTCTAAATCTTGGTCTTTAGTATGTGTAATATTTTCGGAAAACTGAGTCAAGGTGAAAACACTATACGACAGCAGACACAAACGGTTATTTATGAGGTTGTCAATCTATGTATCGACACAGCACCATATTTTTGGGCAACCAAGTCGCCTTTGCTTATGAGCGTCCAGAATTTGCTCATGTAATCATTTTAACCTGTGATTGGGCTTAAGACAACCTCGTGCGTGCATCACAAAAATGGCCTATTCAAAAAGTGACTTATACATATCTAAATACCTATGAGGGGGGACAGACTGGATCGCACTTGGCACGGGTGAGGTTCACCAGGCCGCGTTATTTGAAGACATACACAGACAGATAGTCAGATGAGTACATTTTAATAGTGCGGCATTCACCTTACGCGCATTCACAATTAGAGGCACCCTTCGGGATTGCAACATTCAAATTTTGGCATGTTTAGATCAGTATAAGATTGTAATATTATCTTCTACAATGGCGATCGCTGGCACGCGATAAGTAAGAAAGACCAAGGTAATGAATAGGACGCAGAGAGTAGCGACTAGTAAGACTCATTTTTTAAATCAATTAACCTGGCTCTGTCGATGTGTTACTATACTACTTGAGAGCACACTGCATCTGTTTGAGACTTACATCTGCATGACACTTAACACCTTTTTGTGGTGGTTTGCTTTCGATTCAGAAGAAAGTCCTGTCAGAGTCCACCACCATCTAATACTCGTTTAAAAGGGACTTTTATATGTCATTGTTGACGCTGTATACGTTGAAGCTGGCGGCATTGATAGTATCGGCGTCATTGTTGTCGTCGTCACGTAAGTGACGTTTTTGCTGATGATGTTTTTGCTTGCCAAATCATGGTAAACCGTAATTTTAGTAGTTCTGTCGCACGCATTTCATGACAGGTCTTTGAGAGGTGCTACCTGAATGGAATCATCATGAAGCTAATGTAATCAATTATGCAATGTATAGACAAATTAGTTTTTGAGAGTTGATTCATTCTCTCGCTTTTCGGTTCGATTCAATCCCTTTTTTTGGTAAGTAAACATCTAAAACAGACATTTCCGATTTGTCAATGTATGTGTACTATCTACCCGTTATGCATACTGTATGGTACCTAATCATCCTGCTTAATTAAAAATTCACGATGATGCTCACACCTCAAGATCGTGCCTGATACGACAATCTGCTCGTGCTTTCTCATCTCTGTCTCTTTTACTACTAAAACTCCGGCCAATAAAATTCATTATTCTGCACTCGCGGATGCAGTGACACAGGTACCGCTGTAAACGACGTATCCTAAGCTTGTTTTTGAGAGCGAGGTAGATGCCACGTAGACTTTCAATTTATGCGGAAGTTTGCCGCTCGCATAGATGTTAAAATAAGACATATCGCTAAACTACGAGCAAAAGTCATCTGCACGCATCTGCGCATTTCTTATAGCTTTAAAGCTCAAGGTTAGGTAAGAAGAAAAGTAGTAGAGTGTAGTATCGCGCGGTGTTTAAGATACTAAGAATTATGAATATAGCCGCACGATACTACATCTTGCAATTATTCTCTTTGACCTCCTTTTCTTATTCATGCAAAATCTACATCGCTGCTTTCTTGATCCAGAAATTTAGATAAATGCCTTTTTCCGTCTTTGTCGCCACCATCCCTGTCTTTGTCTTCTTTCCCTTCATTCCATCTTTTTTTACGTTGATACTTTTATTCTTGTCCATTTAATGCGATTTGAAGCTGCTCATGACCGTCTTGCCTATTTTGGATATCTCAGGAGTGATTGCTCTAAAGGGTGCTGCATTGCAGCATTAAGTTCTATCTATGGAGAAGTAAGTGCAAATAGTAGGCTACTTCTTTTGACGCTTTCTAATCAATTCAATCACATTTTAGGCTAATAGCGTATGCAAGATACTTCTGCGGTCGCGCCATCTAATCTCTCCATTGCATCTCCCTGTCCGAATCAATGACAATTAATTGGGCTGCCGGGCCACCGGGCAATGCCATTTAGTCTTAACATTGATTCGTTTTTAGAGGATATTAAGAGAGAATAAATATATAACACTATATAATAATTATTCACAACGAATTGCTGAAATCGTTTACTAAACATAAGAAAAGGGAGTGAATCTGATCAAAATGGAAGTAAAAAGACAGCTCCCTAGTTGTATGGTTTGGATGTATGCGCATGATACAAGCGCAGTATCCCTTTCTACAAATTACTGCGTCGAAATATTCACTGTACATAGGCTCAATCGACGGGTGTTCAATCACTGTGCTCTCCCTCCTTTCACTTTGTAGCTCATTGCCTGCCGGCAAGCGCATTACAGCAAATGCGATCCAAATTGCTAGAAAAAGGTTAGGTATACTCAATTGAAGATGATATCATCAGATTGAGCATTACAGATTAAGACTGGAAGTCATATTTTTATTTTGCTAAAACAAATCCCTAGTACAATGACCCACTCGCGACCGGTACATTCACATTTTTCCCTTTCCTATTAACGATTGCGAGCCTGAAGGGTGAAGCTATTAGTGGCTGTGCGCAGGGATGAATGCCGAACTTTTAAATCGTACTTATCAGTGTTTTTGTAAAAAACGTGAATAGGTGTACGTTACTCGTGCTAAATACGATCTAGTCTGTCCCCTCATACGTCGAATAAGCATGATAGGTGTCGCTCTATGGCCAGGTCAATATTCTGATGCACGCACCTGATTGGCTTAAAATCGACCAAAGGTGAATATGATCACATAAGCCAATGTTAGACGCTCATTAGCAAAGGCCGATCGCGTTGCCCAAGTGTACTGTATTGTGTTAATACGTACATTGACAGCATCATACTCATTCTTCAGTATCTGAAGTGGCATAGATTTTTGCAACTTGATTCCGTTCTGCGAACAGAATTACTTTTATTAAGGGCCGAGCTCCAGAGCTTGCTCCCTTATCTTAATATAGTGATCTAATCGCATCCTATTGGCTATACAAGAAGCTAAACTTTGTACGGAGTTTATTTCAAAGGTACAGTTTCCAGTTTCTAGCTGTAACTTAAAATTTAGCCAGCGCAGAACGAGGTCTTGGGACGCCCAGGTCAATGACCTGCTGAATGTTATGGCTTTTGTAGATAACAAATCGGAGGGAACCCTGCATAGCCTTTGCATGCACGTCTTCTTTGCCCATAACAATCGCTAAAGAGCTCCATATTGCTGGTCTGGAGGGGGCGACTGATTTGTGGGCTGGTCCATGAATGAGTGGATGCCAGACGACGGCCATTAGCGGCCGTGACTGGTACGCATAGTGTGTGTGGACCTCCCGCACTTTCGACTGGTATTGTACCGCTAATACAATACCAATTGACCAAACGGCTTTGCTTGCATCCAATTTTCAGCCATAACGAAATCTCCTCCGTTGCTATCACTCCATAACGTAAATAAGGATAACCTTGCATCAAGATGCGACTCGCATCATCTATCCTCCTGATTTCCACAGCGGTTGTGACGTGCAGCGTAATTTCTGCGATTGCACTTCGTTCTGAGGCTGAGAACGGCGGCGAGAAGCCTGTCAAGCGGTTTCCGAAAACGAGCGACACCACGGACAACGAAGATAGGATGATTAGCATGCCTAACCTTGCGGCAACACGGGCGGGTGAATTCTTGGCACCGAAAGGGGAGGTGATGCTTGGTTACACCGGACCCGATTATCGTCCAGCTCTTGTCAAATCTCTCAAGCAGTTCGAAGACGGAGCGGATGTTCGAGTTTCCGAGATTCTCGCGTACCAACATCCCAAGATCTCCGGCGCAGATGTTCAAGCTTCCGAGATTCATGCCAACCAAGACCCCAAGATCTCCGGCAGACCCGTGATGGAAGAAGGTGGTGCGGCGCGGAACGGAGCCAGTATTGAGCCTACCGGACAAGAACTAGATACTCGGAAGAAGCTGGAGGTCAGAAAATTGACAGTGAGGGTGAGCGGCTGGATTGAAGATGGGAAGTATTCTCCCGATGAAGTGCTCCAACTCCTTAAAAGAGAATATCTCGGGCCCAGCTTTTTCACGGATTCGATCCTCGGCACGCTGAATCTTTTCATCGAGCTACTCAACAAGAAGAATGAGAAAACGGAAGGGTTCATCAAGGACACTCTGTTAAAAGTGTTGTTGAGAGACTTTGGTGGGTACAGTCTCGCTCGTGTACTTTCCGTTGCCAAGACCAAAGCCGGCGATGGGAAACTCGCTAAATCGCTACAAACCGAGCTACTGCAGCAGTTGGTAGGCAAAAAGTATTCTGTGGACGACGTCTTCAAGGGCATGTGGACCATCGACAAGTCAGTAGGCGTGAGGCTCCTTGCTTATACCGTTGTGGACACGATGAAGACATTCATCGGCTTGTTTAACAAGAAACATCCGGATTCATCCGTAAACACGTTTGAGTACCTGATGTCAATGCTTAAGGGTGACCATATCCTTGGACTTCTGCTTCGTAAAGCAAAAGAAGAGAATCACGATGTTTTGAACCTTGAGATGGAATTACATCACATGTGGGCGGATGATGACAATATAGCGCCGAGAGATCTCGCTCCTTACATCGAGGAAATGCTGGGTGAGGGAAAGCAGGCCACCAGGAATACTCTAGATATGGACGTGTCGTCTATCGTGCAGAAAATGGAGAAGGACTACAACAAGTTCTACATGAAAAAATTCCCGGACGACGTAAAGAACCACATGACTTTTGCCCAATAAAGCATACAGGAAAGGGTACACTTGGTAATAAATGTCGTTGTGAGTGTTCGTTTTCTTAATTGCCGATATTGCAACGTGCGTGTATCATTGACAGCACAGCAAATCGTGTCCGCGTAGAACTGTAAAGATGATGCGTGTCTTAAGACACGTTTCAAATACATTATCGCTTCACCAAAAAAAATCATAGCCCTCCTGTCCTTCCTGGTAGGCTTAAACTTGTGGATGAAGCATGTAACGTCTCCACATTTAGGTTTCTGTCGTCTGCAATAGTGTTTTGCGAAGCGTACTCGCATTCTTCGGTAAAATAAATGTGCCACACTGAAAATAAGCTGTAGTGACTACGATTTCCCTTGAGCTGCTTAGTCCAAGGTTCGGTCTTGTGCTTTTTTATTGTTTTTGTGCTACCCATATGTCGCGCGTTCGTGATGCTCTTGGCTTGGACGATGTGGCATGTGAACACAAACCGTCACGAAAACTATACTGCTGACTCCAAGTATGGCAATCGCTGCTAGATATAAGTTTTATGTCATCACAAAGAGTGTGGCACAATCTAACGGCAGACTTCGTTTCATGGTGAGTATTGCAAAGCTGATTGATCGAAAGTTGCAAAATGAAGAAGCACTACATGTAACGGGGTGCATCGTTACATAACAATTTATAAGAAATTGTTAATAGAATATAACTATGAGAGTTACATTCTCAGAATATTGTCATAAGGACAAATATTCTGCAGCACTTACGAGTAGTTCCTAATTGGTTGATATAGGCCATTATATCAACCAACGAAGACGCGCCACGACAGACGCACGCAATGAGTGGTGAGCAGATAACTGATTTACACATTTGTATTTAGACATAGTTAGATGAAGATAAATAGTGATTTATTGCAGACATTAACTATACTAAATACAGTTCTACTTTTTACTTTAACCAAGTACTCGCTTCTTCTTACCGTCTTCCTCTGCACGTACGAGTGTACGTGAAGTTACGAGGCACCGCCTTATTCTGTCATCAGAATAAGTAGCTTGTACTGTCACCAGTACAAGCTTCAGGGTGCCCCGTTACACTACAACCCCACAGTCTTTCAGTTTGCACCATACCACGGATACGTATACAATTGCATCGGCCACTCGAAACCATCATAGCTTTTCGTCCGAAAGCCTCTCGAAAAATCCACAATCAGACTTCTCTACATGATATCGGATATATTTGTGGCAGTTGCACGCAAATTTGTCGGTCTCGGTACCAACAGCGTTCCACGCCCTGGTCATTAATGCTTAGGCCGCATGGAAGCCAAAGACAAGTAAGTATTCGAAACACGTTAAAACCGCTCGGCTGATTACTTAACATTTAGCTGCATAAGCATAACGTTGCGTCTAGGTGAGGCAGAGAATTAAGCGGTGCAAACCAAGAATGAGATCATACTTCTGTCAGTGTGTTGAAGAGCAGTCTCATTCTTGATCCTAGATTGATATCGTCAATGATCATGGCAAAGCAAAGCTGCAGCTAACAAATTCGATATGCCACCGACTAATCTAGACTCGGAAATTTACCACATGAGATTGACGCACTGCAATAACTCAAGTTCGGTGCAAGTGAACATGCCGCAGCACAACATGTTGTTGCAGCCAAAGCAAGTAAAAAACACACCGAAAGCCCTTGAGCTTGTTTCTACACTTGACCTTCTCATATGGCTCCAAAGTCAGTCTGGCCGCTAACAATCTATCTATAACAACGCCACACTACGTGCTATGGAAAGAGGGCTACACAAAACCAAGATAACCATTTCGAGTGGATATAATACCCAAAGAGGCACGCGCACACTCGGGCAAGAGTGACAAATGATCAAAGGCATCCCTTAGATTAGCTCAATAAAAGGCTGGCTCGTACAAGCTGCAAACGCTTCCGGCCTTTAAATTCGGGCCATCAATGTACTTGGCTAATGCTGCGCAAAGTGTCTATCCCCATACAGCTTGCGCTACGACCCCAATCGTACGATAGTCTGAGCGAGCAGGTTGATTCGAGACCAATGGACCTTTCACTTCGTATGACACCGTGCTTTCTCTTGTACAAGCTATCCAAACGAAGGAAACTTCAGTCATATAAGCAGTGTTGAGCTTGGACTCAAGCGCGTCGTAAACATAGGACGAAATACGCAGTACCGTTAAAATGCTAATCACACCAGTAAGCTTCTGTTACGAGATTGTAACCGTCGGGGTACCCTCGCAACACCCCGCAGACGGCCGACGGAGTGGGTACAGGTGACCTGGACCCAATGTTACGGCAGGATAGAATGCGCGTAATCGTCCAAAAGTTTGTGAATATTGTCCTGGAGCTATTGTGGTACGACACAGCAACATCGATGTGTAGTGTTGACGGTGTTTCGACGTAAGAAACAAGCACCTACTTTTAAGGAAAAAGAATGGACTATTTTGATATCCTGACACTTCGGTAGTCTACCGGTCCAGCAAGAGTAGCACAATCAGTGCATGTTGGGTCGCTCTCTTCAGCCAGACTTCTGTAGCACCTTTCCTCGATGTGATCATTTCTATCACGAACCTCTGCATGCTTTTATCGAGTTCACGTTAAGCGCTAGCTCTATTTCTCAATCCCTTCGTAACATATCGGTAAGTGCTCGTGGTAGGGGCTAGCTGCAACTAACATCCGCATCAAACGCATTTCCTCATGCAACTCGAGGTCTTCACGTCGCAATGAGTCTGGAAATACGCTACACTTCGATGTGGGTACCGTTGATATTAAACTCTGCGCCAAAGGCGCAATCTGCCACAACTCCGCCTGTCCTGACCGCTACACTTGTTATCAGCGTCACCTCCTCAGCGTGCAGTTTACGACTTCGATGAAGACACGTTCGAGAGGTATCAACCGGCAACGTGTAGTGTAAAACAACCTACCGCCAAATGCTCGAATACGTAACCTGGTCCTTGAATTCTACTACGATGGTGTCGCTCGCGATGGTGGGAATGCTTTTATCAAGTCATGATCTTTGTTGCTTCGCTGGTGACCAGAGACGAAGGACATGAACACTGTGAGCGCAACGATTAACAACAGTGATGTGACCTCCGTCGCCTGGAAGAAATGCGACTGTAGATTAAAGATTGTAATATGTTTTTATCACGTGATCGTTGCATTCGTGGTTCCTTCCTTCTCCATTATGGGATCGAGTGTTACCACCCATTCAACAACAACACGTCGAACCTGCCACACAATGAGTGTATCTGGTACTCTTTGTACGATTTTCTTCGGACCGCTCCATTACATGACCCTAGCACCAGCGATAGCTTTACGAGGCAACAGCGTGACAGCGACTCTATCCAGTAAAATACTCGCTCTCGATTGAGCAAGTTCTCATCTGACTGACTTGGTGAATTCTTGGCGGAATGGTGTCGCCCATGTCTTCTTACCACCTTCGCGCAAATCTTATGCGTCCGTCAACAAGTAGAGGATCCGAGTACCGACCGTACGCAATCAAATTGCAGCTCATGCTACAAGAAGGATTGCCAGACTTTGCATTGTTTCATTCCTGCGGGGCGCACGAATCCGCTATCTCGCGTCTCAGGTACTTACCCACTGCAAATATAGCTGCTTCCGTGTGTAAAGCTGACGAACGTACTGGGAGCTCCTTTTCTGCAGTCAATGTGAATACCGATCTCGTCGACTAGTCCGACGTAGCTGGAGCTCGAGGAGCACTGCTGTCTCAAGAGTAACCTATTGTCCAAGGGACTTGGCAGTACTGAAAAAGGGGTCGTCGTAGAAGACAAACAGTGCAGACAGATCATGTCCTTGAGAGCCGTGACATGAGCTGGTGAACCAAAACAGCAAAACTTAAACGCTTTGCAGTCCAGTGTACTGCGGCCAGTCTCCGTGACTCTTCGCACAGTGAGCCAAGTGTTTGCTGTCACGAACAAAGAAGTGGTGGGTTAGACACACACGTATCCTTGGGCAAACGACTGTACTACAGCATCAATACATGAGAAGGTTGCGAACAAATTGAAGCCAGCGATCTCTGCTTTGACGTTTGTGATATCCCTACATCACGACGATACCAACGATCACCAAACAATCCATACCAGATCAAGGGAGTACAGCGACATCCAGACACTTTTGTTCCCCAGTCCACACACAAACACGCAGTTAAGACACCTCAGCGACCCACTCGAACGACCGACACTGATACTGCCAAAAAAACCGCGATTCATCCATTTTCCAGCATGTGTTCCTCCTTATCTCAACATACCCAGAAGAATGAAAGAAAGGGAACAAGTAAAAAGAGGTGCGGTCGACCTGGTTCCTAAATCACCCCCGCCTCGTTCTTGAGCTTCTCCACGAGCTCGTCAACGCTCGCGACCTTGACCCCCGCTTTACGGGACGCCGGGTCCTTCACCTCAACCACGTCAATACGTGGCGTAAGGTCCACGTCCAAACTCTCGGCTGCCATGGCCTCAATCGGCTTCTTCTTGGCCTTCATAATGTTCGGAAGCGTCGCGTAGCGCGGTTCATTGAGCCGCAAATCCGCCGTCACGACTGCAGGGAGACCAAGCTCCAGCGTCTCGACGCCGGAATCCGTCTCGCGTGTCACCGACAGCAGCGAGTCGCCCTCGACAACCACCTTGGACGCGAACGTGCCTTGGCTCCAGTCTAATAACCCCGCCAGCAACGGACCCGTCTGCGCCGCGTCGGCGTCAATGCTCTGCTTGCCACAGATCACGAGCTGCACGTCCTCCTTGTGCACGATTTCCTTGAGCACTTTGGCCACCGCCAAGGGCTGGAGCTCTTGGTCCGTGCGGAGGTCCGTGAGGACGTGGATCCCGCGATCTGCGCCCATGGCCAGTGCCGTGCGGAGAGTCTCCTGGCTTTGTTTGGGGCCAATGGACACGACCACAACTTCCGACGCTTTTTGCTGCTCCTTGAGGCGAATCGCCTCCTCCACTGCGATCTCGCAGAAGGGGTTCATGCTCATCTTGACGTTCTTGAGGTCGACGCCGGACGGCGAGACGCGGATCTTGACGGCGTAGTCCACGACGCGCTTGATGGGGACCAGGATTTTCATGATTTGAGAGATTTCGAATGGAGCTGTTGGGGGAGGTCGGACGCGGTGATAAAGGAGGTTTGAGGGAGGTTTATTGGAGGTTTTGAGGGAGGTTTGAGGGGGTTTGAGGGGGTTTGAGGGAGGTTTGAGGGAGGTTTGAGGGAGGTTTGACGGGGGGGTTTTGAGGAATGGGACCAATTGGTGCGAACGAGACGTGGTCACAAGGTGAATCATGGGTTTGGACGACGATGGAGAAACTGTGGGAATTAATGTTGTGTGGGTCGTGGTGTGGCAGGGACTGCAGCTTCACGAGGATTTCGTCGATTAGGCAACTAGCTCGAGGTATAGGAAGTCGGTCAGGAGAAACTACGATATTTTTCCTAGGTTGTTGTTTTTTTCTTACGGTAAATGGCAAGCTCTGGAGGTCGCTTTTAGGATTAAGTAACGTAGTACAAAGAAGAAAGTCGAGTTATGGGTGTGGACGAATCCAGTTGGATGAGTGGAGGTTGGCGACTGGAAGGTGGATTACGGGTCGTGAGGTGTAAGATACGGTAAAGAGAGAAACGGCAGCTAGCTGATCTTGCCTTTGCAGCAATAACGATAACTATGTAACACCGACGACTTTATCATGCTGAGGAGGAGGAGATGACTGAGGATCTCCATCGATCGCTGTGCAAGGACCATAACCGTCCATCTTCTCATCCTTTTCACGTAGTGTGGGTGAAGAAAGCATAATGTGCACCAGTATTACCGTGTTAGCACGACTTCGTTCGTTGTCTCGTAAAAACCGTCTCCCTTCTGACTTACATGCACACACATACATGCATCTATTTTTCCCATCGAACAGCTTTTCACGAGACTGGCTTGGGTGTGGCTGTGGAAACCAGAAAGCAATAGGGCACATCGATACAATAGGCTGGTGCGTTATCGTCTACATCAAGCATTTAATCGTTTCCGTGACGGCATGATCTCGCCTTGCTACTCATTTGCTCGAACCATGCTTCATCGATTCCTACCTGAGCATTCGATAGGGCCATATCAGAAACTAGAAAAAGCTGCACCTTAAGTGGAAAACTAGTGTGACAATCCTGGGCGTCTTTCGTCGCGCTCCGCCGGATCATACGCCCGTATGTACATGCGTTCGTATACGACGCTCGTTTAAATGATCTGACTACAGACACGTACTACTGGTTGCTAGTAGTAATGTGCACCCACGAAACATCACATTACAGCTGCACGGGCTGATTAAGCCGAAAAGACACGTAGAAGCTGCTTCCTCATCCAAGAGAACGGTGCACTAGAGCAGTGCACGCACGAGAGACGTAGACATCTACTAAAGCTTTAATACCATCAAATATTCCACGACGACTGCACCAATTGCCATCACATCGAGGAAATTCAGTGCATTTGAGAGACCTTCCCATGTTCTGAAATGGACGAGCTACACCACCGGACCGAAGCGGTAACGATTATACCAGCTTGTTTGATCGGATAAAGTATCGGATTACGAGTTGGTATTGTCGGTAGCAGAAATCTATCGCGCTAGCAGTAGTCATCGGTGCGTAGCGAGCGTCGATGCTTGTACAGCTACGGAAATTGCAGTCGAAATGACCGCTTTAGTGCACAGCTACTCCGCTGCAGCAAAGGTAATCTGCATGGACGCTTTGTGTGGAGATGCGTTGGTGAAAAACGGCTGCTTATGGTGCGTTCGAAGTGCGCTGTGTGGACTTCTTTACGCGTAATGATCGGTCTATGCTTCGGATACTAATTTAGCCAGTTATTCCACATACATGATTGCAAACAAGAGAAAGTGTTTGTCTTGTGAATACATAGTCTTGTCGCCGTCTCGCGCCTTTTTTGCGTACGAAGATAAGCTCAGACCGTGCTCTCAGACATCTACGACCTCTTGCATCGTATCTTTTTGATATCCTCATAGATTACACCCCATGTTTTAGGAATGGCTTGACGTGACACGTGATAGCGTCTACCACACATTGCACGGTGATGATGGATTCGCGCAAAGAGGATAACTTAGTGGTCGAAGTCATTCCATGCCATGACGGAATCTCGCCCGCGCGCTCGCAAAGCAATATATCCATGTGTGGATCAAATAAAGGCTCGAGCAGTCGTGACCGGCTTTGATAGTGCCATACAGAAAGCGTAGATATAGTAGTGTGTGGCGAAAGCCAAGCACATAGTGCTTGCTAACATGTAGCGTCGGAGTTACGGGTGTCGGCGCTCATCTTCTCCATTGCAACGTCGTTACGAACACATAACCTTATTGCAGATGCAATACGTACCACGCTGGAAAAAGCGTCGAACATCTATCTCACGAGCCTTTTTTCGGCAACACAAACTGTTTCGAGAGCTTGTTCCGATGACTCGTTACCTGCAGTCCTGACGAAAGTAATCAGCCCGCATCCTCGCAGTGTTGCGTCGTACTATTCGAAGTGAAGGTTGCATATCTTGGTTTGTTTACACACCAATTTAGCTCAACAGTTGACGTCCTGCGTCATACCCCTCATGTGACGAAAATCTGCGTTAGATTTGTAAAAATGCCGTCACAAATAGCAAACGCAAAGTCTTGATGCTTCTTGTACCAAACGTCAGCAAGCCAGTAACACTCCGATTGGTATAGCTTCTACAAGTTCGCAAAGAAATGTGCGAGATCATGCTGGAGCAGATAACTGATAATGTAGCAATCGCATGGTGAGGAAAGGTACGCCACTCCGGCGCCGCCGTACAACGAGTATGGAGAAGCTCTAAGGGTTTCCATCAGCTGTACACATTTACGAATACGTTCGACGTTACCGTTACGCCAACTTGCAGCATAATGCTTCTGAATCGCGAGTTGCAACTTTCGTAGTCATGCTTGCACACCCATTAGAAATTTCAGTAAACTTTCACGCCGAATGCGTCAATGTACAGAGGAGGTGAAATGTGGCGATCATCTTTACAAAAGTACAACCAATGCACATGGCTCCTTACTTTGCGTTTTTATGAGGTTGCTTCGTATTCTACTACTTCGTATCGCTCAATTCTCGACTCTGCGCGAGCGATGCTAAGACCAATTGCTTGTGTACCGCTTTCACAGCCATTTGTGTCTTGCCAACTAGAAGCTTTACGTAAAAGAATTGTGATGAAAAAGGTAGAGTCTCGTCGAGCACTGTTAATTATTTATAAACAACAGATATGGTGGAACTAACCAAGAATAAATTCTGACTTACAAGCTAAATTGCTCTAAAGCAAGACAGTGAATCGATATGACGCCTTTTCATTCCGTCTTTCGAGTCATACCGGGCAAGCACTCCAGGTGCGCAAAGACGCGTAACAAGTCGTGTGTCCACCCTCTTTTATTACCAGCAAGCTGTGTATTACCAGGACACGCCACGCTGATTCCTTCATCGATCAGATGGCAATCAGGACACACACTCTCCGACTAAGAAACTGACTTCTTCGACCTCCCCCCTCGTTCCAGCCTGCCCTACACACACACATCTCGACTCCAGTCCTAAAACGAAACACCTCATATTGGCCTCACCGCAGGCTGTCGGTCCTTCCCATATCGGGTGTTGACCCTCTCGCTCTCTTGTCGCACATAGCACGACGTCCCGACAAAGGACGGATCGTCTTCTACCACCAACCACCACAATAACCACAAACATCGCCCCTCACCCACACTCCTCTGTCTCCCCAGTCAGTCGACCAGCCTCACCCCGTCCGTCCGTCCGTCCGTCCAGTCTCTACATTCCTCGCGCTTTCCACCATCCTCAACCTTTTCCGCCATGATTACGGCCCACGAGCTCACCTTGTCCTGAGCGAGCGAGCGAGCTCTCCCACACAACCACTCGCTCCATCTCTCTCCATCTCTCACTTTCAGTCTCACGTGTTCCACCTACCTCCTGTCCGTCCTGCCCGCTCACCTGCCCCCTCCTTCTGCACGCAATGGTCCTCCTGACCCCCATCGACACTGAGCACCAAGCTCGAGGCTGCGGTCGAGCTCGGGCCAATGACATTTTCCGTCCCGTCCGGTGGACACGCATCGCCACGCTGACCCACGAAGCTGCCAAGCTCTACGAACACGCTTCGAGTCACGGCAGCACAGCGAGCAGCGACTCGGACCCAAGTCGTCGTCGCCAAGTGTCGTACACTGTGCGAGCGGTGACAGTCCTGCGCGCGTCGCTGGCAGAAGTGGAGGCTGTTCTAACGGGCCGCCCGACGTCTCGACGCAGTCTTCTGACGTCAGCGAGGAGGAGACGGAAGACGAAGCAGGAGCCTGTGAAGCCGCCCCTTTTGACACGACTGTTGCCCCTCACGTTCGCCTCGGGCGGTCCAGTTGTCCAGTACCCGACTCTGGAACATGCCAGCAGTGAACGGGAGACGGTTGGACTGCAGTATGCTCGAGTGAAGCCATTTCGAGGGTCCTGTCTGGACGAGCAGGGGAGTTTGAGTCTGAAGAGTGAGGTTGGTGAGGAGGAGATAAAGCAGGAGGAAGACAGGAAGAAGTTGAAGTTGAAGACGAAGTTGACACTGAAGAAGAAGAAGAAGCCGAAGGTGGCGGAGGAGGAGGAGGAGCTCGTGCAGCTCGAGTCGGTGGAGAATCACGTGTTGCTGGAGTACACGCTGTTGACTAAGTTGCAGCGTTCACGTAGGAACAAGAAAGCCACGTCGGACAGGTCGAGATCGGAAGGAGAAGTGTCGGTGCCGTCACTCCTTCATTTGTATCGGTCCGTCCGTGCCCCGACGTTTGGGGAGCAAAGACCGGACTTTCAGCAAGAGAGACTGGCTCGAGACCAAGTGAGCATCACGTATATTATTCAGGACGTGGCCTTGTGTCCAACGGATGTTGATGAGAGCAGTGAGGGGTCTCAGAACGAAGTGGAGCAGATGGTGACGCTGGAAGTCGTGCTGACGTGGTCGATGGAGATGCAAGCAGCAACTGAAGAGGAGAAAAATGAAAACGTGGTGACAGATGAGCTCAAGCAGCGACTTCGACACGATGCACTTTGTTTGACTCGACTGCAGCCGTTGGTTGATGAGTATCGACAGGAGGAACACCGTCGTCGATCGAGTTCGTCTAGGAGTCAGTTGCCAGAAGTGCAGCCCAAACCAAAAATTAGTGACCCGCATGTGCTGCGTGGGCACGTGTTTGCTCGCGGCCGGACGTGTGGTGTCTGCCAGCGAAAGTTCAAGCCGTTTGCGTGGAAACGGCACTGCGAGACGTGCGAGAAGCTCGTGTGTAACCAGTGCTTGTCAGTCGTCACTGCGTCGCCGCCACCTTCGCGACGCAAGATACGTGTGTGCTCGCGATGTCTGCACGGAGATAAAGACGATGTCGGTTCATTGCTTCAAGCAGAAGCGGAGATCGAGCATGATGCTGTATCGAGCTCGGTCAGCAGCAGTGATCTGGCTACACTTCACACATCAATTGAAAGTTCTACAGTTAATGTTTCAATGTGTCCAAGTTCGGATCCGGATGTCACAATGCTGGATCAAGTAGTAGTTCCTGGAACGCCATCGAGGGTCTCCGGTCGTGTTCAGATTGATCTGGACTTGGATCCTTCGCTCGTTGCAGCTTATATGAACACTTCGGATCGAAGACGCGTTCGGCCACCGCAGTCGCAAGTATTGCGAGAAGTTGTCGTGGGTCCAGTCTCTGATGCCGGTGATAGCGTCGTTGTTACACGGCGTAACAACCGACGGGTGGTACTGTTCAGTCATCCGGATGTGGATGAAGGCAAGTCTGCTTCAGCCAAATCCATGTCGTTTCGTCGCACAAAGGTTGTACTTCTAGACGAATCGCAGACGAATCTTGCGGCTCGCAGACCCTTGGATTTCATCACACATACCCTATCTTCAGCGGCTATGCAGCCGTTGTGCCTCGCATCGAAAGAGAGTGACGACCACGAAATCATCTTGCAGGAGGCTGTTGGCTCTTGTGCAGACTCACTCACGATGATGCAATTTGCTCAGCTCAAGACGCCCGAGCCGAATTACGAGCTGGATTTCAGCTGGTACAATATTTTCCCCAAGGCACCCGTTAAGCAGACTGCTGACGAGCTAGCTCGCGTGAGATATCTCGAAGTGACTGGTCTAAAGCTGGATGCTTTCTCGCTTGTGTTCCTACGCTACGACAAGCGGTTAGAAGAGCTGGTACGCCAAGTGTTGAAAGTAGCCTCTCAGTGGCATGCTTGCAGTGTCAATATTGTTGGGAGTTACGAGGTCTACTGTCTAGTGACGGCGTATAACGCGTCCGAGCAAGTTCTTGGTGGTGACGGATCGGAGCCAGCTGCATATCCAATGCCGGTCGACGACGTCGTCCTTCGGGAGGAAAGCGTGAGTGCGTATGCGGTGCACCACCAGTCTCCCTTCTTTGTAAGCGAGATGAAGAACGATATTCGCTTCCAAGCCCACCCGCTTCACACTGAACAAGGAGCTGTGTCACTGCTGAGCTTTCCCATTTACTCGTCTGGTGTCGGTAATCGTGATCCTCAGACTCAAGGCGATGCTTACTGTGTCGCCACGTTGGACTTGTGGAGATATGGTCATGTGCCAGCCAGCAGCCATGTTTCTCCAGACTGGATGATTAGCGTAAAGAATTATTTAGACCAGATCAGTGCTCGCCTGGAGGCTCTGGCTTTGGAGTCGCACGCATTCGCGATGCCTCGTGCTCGTGCTTATCATTCGCTCGGATCTCTGCGTGATGCCAAAGACAGCACTCGACGGGCAAACTCCGTCATTGATCGACACGGCATTGGCAGCGAGTTCACAGTAGACGGATCTCGGTCTTCTGAAGCAGAGACAATGGATCAACTCACGAACCTTTCATACGTAAAGGTTTTGGGCCCTGGTTTGAGCGGCATGACCAGTTCCGCGTCGTCAACTTGGAAGTACGACAGCGACAACGAGAGCACAACATCCAGTCAAAGTGCCAGCAGTTCCTGCAGCCAGGGCTCGCGCTTTTCCTCCTACTACTTTTCAGCTGCAGATATGCACTCGACGATTGAATCGCTGTTGCAACAAGCTTCAAAGACTTCTCAATTCATCAGCGAGACGGGAGTATCCATCTAGCGCTGGTGTGTGTTTTGATTTACAAGTGGATGGAGTCGGTCACTGGTTCATCCATGACTAGCGTTCTGATGTATGCAGAGATCAAGCATCCAGCATGTGTTTCGCTCGATGTATCTCTCTCGCTGCATGCAGTCTATTGCAGTAATAGAAATGAGCAAGTCGAATTCAGTGAGTATTGCTCACCATCAAGCTGGCGTTGTGTCGAACTTGTCGAGATGATAAAGTCTTGAATCAAAGAGTCGCATGTCTTGACTTTGAGTGTCAGGTTTGCATACAGGTGACATTGGCCTAAGCGCATCCATCGAAATGTTTTGGATGCAATGTCTGTATAGCGCCACTCGACTTTTGCACAATGTTTTCCGCCTCGACACTACAAAACTGCACAGTGAGAGAGGGTCATGTTAAATGATAAAGCGATCAAGAAGATGTCGGACATCCAGCTCGAGGCATGTGTTATCGTTGTGGTACGTGACAGCCGACAACTCTCACCTGTCACTTCAGTTCTTAAGCATCGACATTAGTCAGACAGTAAGTACGTAGCTGCTCAGTTGGCCATCTATCTTCCTTCAAGTCCAGCCAAGTTGCAATGCCACGACTCGTCCGTAGGGTGTCTGCCAGCATAAAGGAAGGACCTTGCTTGGCAATAGACCTGCTACCATTTGATAGACACACCACAGCAGCAATCGCCAGCCACGATTACTACACCCGATCCCATTATTGCCACCTGCATGATCAGTGGCAATGACAGCAAGGAATCCCACGTCGCTATACCCCTCGAAAGCCTAGTGCGAGGCAAAGCTTCGGACAACGGTCTTTCGATATTGACGCGTGCGGCTCATTTCCTCGCCATGGGCGACGGCATCGACAACCGAGAGCTCCCCACGCAAGTCCGTTTCCATCTTCATCTTGAGCTCCTTGCCTCGAACGCCTTTGCCCAGGAGGTAGCCCAACTTGGCCACACACGCTTCAATCGTCATGTCCAGCGACGTGATCACACCCATGTTGAGCAAACTCACGCCGGTCGCGTACGTATCAAGCTGCGTCCTGCCTTGAACGCACTGCGAGGTGACGGTCACTGGCATGTCCGCTGCAATGGCCAGCCGCACCAGTCGCAGAAACCCGTCCTGACACAACGGCGCGTTGCCAGTGCCGAAGAGCGCAAAGACGAGCGCTTTCGGCTTGACAGGCTCGTTCCCGCACTTGCGGGCCGTGTGCCGGTCAATGTACGCTTCAATGCACTCGAGGTCGAACCCAGGCACCAAATGGAAGACGCAGATGGTGGTCACCAAGTCGGTGAACACGCGAAAGCGCGACCGCGGGTACGGCAGGATCAACGGCTGGTCCACAATTGCTTCCACGCCAGTGACAGCCAGGGACGGGAAGTTCGGCGAGTGGAAGGCATCGACCGACATGTTGGCGACTTTGGTCGTGCGGTTGCCTCGCAAGAGCTTGTTGTTGGAGTAAATGCAGACTTCCGGGATGGCCAGGGACGTCGCGCACATGACGGACATGATGAGGTTGCGGCGGGCATCACTGTGTGGATAGTGCAAGGGGATCATCGCCCCCGAGATCACCACGGGCTTCCCAAGGAACTCGAGCATAAACGACAAGGCCGAGGCTGTGTACGCCATGGTGTCGGTGCCCTGGAGGACGACAAAGCCGTCGTAGTCCCAGTACTTGGCTTCGATCTCAAGCGCGATTTTGCTCCAGTCGCTTGGGCGCATGTCGGACGAGTCGATGGGATCGACCCACTCGCTGACTGTCACGCATGGCATGTGGTCGCATTTGAACTCGTCCATGTCGTTGAGCTTCTTTGCTAGGAAGCCGCTACTTGGGTGCAAGACCCCGTGGGCATTCGGGACCATGCCGAACGTCCCGCCCGTGTAGATAATGAGGCAATGGGCTGAAGTGGTGGTTACGACTTCTTGATGCCTGCCATCGGTTTCGTTGCTGAACGAGTGACTGAAGCTGCTGCTGCTACCGGCGCGTGTTGAAACGCTGGACGTGGTTGGGGACAGGGACATCCTATCGGAGACCGAAGGTGGAAGTGGAACTATGCGGGAAGGTACAGGAGGTGAGGAACAGGCGCTCGGAGGATGAGCGTGACGACGGGAGAGTCAACAGATGGAGTCGACGACGGCAGGTTTGTCACGAGGATGCACTCGAATTCGAGAGCCGGACGCGAACTTGCAGTTGCGGTTCAACGTGCACTTCGACGGACGAGCTCTCTGGTCTCGCACTTGCTGCGGAATCGATGGAACTGATCGGGTATGTGTCTGCACAGAGCATCTGATGCTGCATGGACTGAATCAATGAAGGGACGTGGGTGAATGTATAATTTCGATGTTGTCTCGTTGCTTGCAAGACTCTCCGACGGTACCAGGTGAATAGAGTCCGTGTGGATTATGTGGGCAAGATGCTATGGCGTGCTCAGAGTAAGACGCGTAATTGACTGTTCGTGGCTGATTGCAGTAAAGTGGTTGTCTCTTTGTGAGCGCAGACCGTGAACAGTTTGGTCACTATCCTTCAGATCGTGTTCAGCGAGTCCCAAGATCTCATGTCCGCACATCATTGATGTGCTGGTAGACCAGGTATGAAGTGTAACATGTCGTACTCCAGGTCATCGCATTCCTCGCTTGGTCTGGTATGACAGGAACACATTCTGATTCTCCGCTTCTCCATACATCCTGTTGAGCGGAAGGTGGCATGCGAGCAGAATTCACAAGTAGTTGTGCACATTAAATGGAGCGATTCGGAAGATGTGGGCAGAAGATCGTGGTGCGCTCGTGCCGAGTTCACGCTCGGGTGCATCTCCAGACGGCCGCGTTTGATCCTGACTAACCAGCGTTCAGTCTTGATTTGTCGGGCGCGATTTGGTACGTAGCAGATGAAAGTTCCCGTGCATGATCAGCATCAAGATACTAAGACCGGCGAGTTGGAATTGAATGATGAGGATGAACAGGGTCGGGGCTCCCTGTACCGCCAAACGAGGAGACTGACCATAGCCATTCTTTCTTATCGAGTACTACGGATGAAGAAAACATCATGTATGTCAATGCGGCCTTGTTAGTATTTCGTTGTTAGCCTCAACACGATCTTAGAATGCTACCTCGCTCCATCGTTCTTGCTGCTGATCCATCGTTACACCAATGGACATTGGTGCTCGAATATGCGGTGCTGTAGGGCTATGTGTTATTCCTGATTAATGAGAGACAGACCCTGATGCCGTGATGTGCATCCGCACGACTTACTGACACACACATACACATACTGAAAAGATCTAGTGCATAGTTCGGGTAAAATGTTACGAACACTTACTAATAGATTCGCCCTCCGGACTCGCTGTGAGAGAGAAACCTACTAAAGAGTCACCTGGCAGCACTATGGCGCAACCTCTAATCAAAAGTCAGTTGCACGCACTCAGCTCGCTGTCAGTAGATTGACCAAATCGTTTTTGCACTGCGATGGATCCGCATACCAAATGAATGACAAGAACACGTTTTGAAGCTGAATCTTGTTGCGCTCGAGTCAGCTTGCTGAACGTAAAAACCGGCCAAAGGTACCCACCATGTTCACTGACCTTTCTACAAAAATACCAGAGAGACGAACTGTCCTTGACTGGGTTGTGTCTAGAGCGGCTCGTCGGGCGATGTTCACAAAACCAAAGCCTTAGTCTGCCTTTTGTACAAGATCACAACTACCGTGATGCGTCCCTAACGTAGGACAGATAGCCAAAAACCATTGCTGCACATCCAGGAGAAGAGTTTTACTTTTCTCGTAAAGCATGATCGGCTTTTGTCGTTTAAATTGGCAAATGCTTGGGCAGTGCCGCAAATGCTGCCAGTTGCGACAGCGTGTTCCCAGTCTGCTCGTCGTATTCCACATTGAAACTGCTATTGCCTCCCTTCTCGTCAAGACGCTGTTCGACCTCGAGTGACGTTTCTGCGAATGATCCTAAAAAAAAGGCGACGACTGTTCCTGCCACGTATTTCATGTTGCTGTCTAATATTTCAATTTACAACGAAATAAAGCTGCAGGTGATTTAACGTCGTAGAATAAGTAAAAGCCTCGATGATGATTTAACGTCGTAGAATAAGTAAAAGCCTCGATCAACAACGACACCTTTGGCATAATATTCCACAAGTCAGTCAAGACACTTTGCATCGTTTTCCATCTGGCGTTGTGTACTGACCAATCAGCGGTCAACTAGACTCCAAGACACAACCCCTCGTCAATGTCAACCACACCATTTACCGTCTCCACCTTCATCTTCAGCACGTCCCCCCACTTTAGTGTCACCCCGGTTCCCACCGACTCGAACGGAGCGGTCCAGTCATTATTAGCCAGCGACTTGACGTCCAGCGGAATCCCCTACCATCATCACCAACCTGACTATGAGGCTAACGCCCATACGGCGATTCCATGCACTCAACGCCACTGCAACTCGCCGCTTCTTCAGCACTGCAGAGCCATCCGCCGCTCGTTTGACGGAAAAGGTACGGACTAGTGACGACTCTTTCGACAAGTTGACGTCGGCTGCGCAACCCCGAGAGACCGATGGGTACATCCACCGTCCAGTGACGTACCCCCTGAAGCAGATTAAGGTGGTGCTGCTGGAGAATATCCACCCGCGAGCCAAAGAGGTCTTTGAGCGGGAAGGGTACACTGTCGAGACCTATAAGCCCGCTTTGTCCGGACAGGAGCTGGCTCGGATCGGTGGAGACGCGCACGTTTTAGGGATCCGGTCCAAGACGCAGCTGGATGCGGATTTCTTCCGGACGATTGGCTGGCACGCCCATCGACTCTGGGCTGTCGGGTGCTTTTGCATTGGCACCAATCAAGTCGCGCTCTCGGACGCGGCTGCCACGGGCATTCCCGTGTTCAATGCCCCTTTTTCCAACACGCGGTCGGTTGCGGAGAAAACGCTGAGTGAGATCATTGCTCTGCATCGGAAGCTCTTTCTCCGCTCGACGGAACTGCACCAAGGCATTTGGACCAAGTCAGCTACTGGAGCTCACGAAGTGCGTGGAACGACGCTCGGCATTGTCGGCTACGGACGCATTGGCTCGCAGGTTTCCGTGCTTGCAGAACTCCTTGGTATGAAGGTGGTGTTTTATGACCCTATCAAGTGTCTGCCGCTGGGAAATGCCCAACAGGTGAATTCGCTGCAGGAGCTGCTGAGGATATCGGATGCAGTGACGCTCCACGTGCCAGCGACGTCAGCCACGAAAGAGATGATTAACCGAGAGACGATTGCTATGATGAAACAGGGAGCGCTGCTCGTGAACAATGCGCGAGGCACTGTTATTGATATTGACGCCGCAAAAGAGGCTGTGGAGAGCGGCCAGATTGCTGGCATGGCAGTGGATGTTTTTCCCAAGGAACCGGCAAAGAATGGAGAGCCATTTGATACGCCCTTGCGTGGGTTGCCGAACGTGATCCTTACGCCCCACATCGGAGGCAGCACGGAGGAGGCCCAGGGCAACATTGCCGTTGAAGTGGCCTCCAAGTTGGTGCGGTACATCAATGAAGGTTCCACGACGACGTCGACCAACACGCCGGAGATCGACATGCTCCCGATTCGAAACAACTCGATGCGTATCTTGCACATGCACCAAAATGTGCCTGGCGTGCTGAGCAAGATTCACGCAGTGCTTTCCGACTATGGCATCAACGTGACGTCGCAGTATTTGCAGTCAGATCCTCGGCACGGCTACATCGCACTCGAAGTGGAAAAGTTCCATGCCAAGGTGGTAAAGCGCGATCTCGAAAAGATCAAGGAGACGATTTTCTTGCGTACGGTCATTTAAGTTTACTCCCATGATTGTCGGGGAGAAGAAGAGAGATGCGAAAGAGACATAGACTTGTTCTTGCGAGGGATGAGAAACATCAAGAGCCACGAGCTGAACCCGATCGAAAGTTGGGTTGGCCGACATCTTCGAAGCGCTATTTTGGGCATGACTGAAAGAAGAGGGAGGTGTGCTTTTGCTCCTCATGGCACCTTGACAAGATGCATGTATGACGGTTGTAAAAGACCTAGCAATCAGTGTTTCACCAATATGAAACCCGCTCGTCGTGCTGTTCGACAGTCTATCACATAACTGCTCGATTGCCAATGCATCATTCCAGCTTGGATGTGTCCATAGCAAAAGAACACCTACCTCTTATCAATCTGTCCATCATCTCCGTAATTTCTTCCCTCACACGCCAGTCCATCGCACACAGAGTTGACCGAATATATAAAGACATGAACCAATAAAGTTGGTCGAATGGTGGAGTGTTGAGCCTCCGCTTTGCTTCATTGCAACACCAAAGAGCGTCGACATGTCAGTCATTATCTACCTCCTCTCGCCACATCCACCAAGCCGACCACTTGTCATTCTCTCTCGTCAAAGGCACGCAGTTCCCTCCTCGTAACACTGTTCCTAGTTTTGGGCATCTAAACCGTCGCGTCATCCCGGATTTTGCGAAGACGAGCCAGAGTCGAGCGCACAGTCGCGGCTGAAGCCGTGTTCAGCAGGTAAGCCCCGCCTGCGATGGTCTTGTAGCACGAGCGGCACTTCCAAATGCCCGTCACCGTCCGCTTGATCGAATCCTTGCCGCAGAACACGCAGTTGTACTTGGCGTGCTGCGAGATTTCGATCTTCTTCACCACTTTACGCAGAGAAGAACCATAGCGCGTGCCGTACTTGCCACAAATGCCAACTTTTTTCGTGCGTTTGCCCTATACGTTATCACACAATAACAACAGAGCACCACGACAAGGTCAGCCACCAACGACACGTTTCTGCAGCTGTAAATACATCCTATTGCAGCACTGGTCCGTTCTCCTGATTCAATCCTACAGTTTTCTTTCCTTTGTTCTGCTAATCTACGTCTGTATCAAGCTATTTTACAGCTCAATTCTGAGGCTTTCCGTTCGAGGTAGAGGAAGCAACTGACACGGTTGGAAAGAAAACTGAACCAAGGAATGGATAGACGTGGTTGCAGTGGACAACGACGTTTAGTCGTACTAGAATGGCCTTACCATCTTTGACTTCGGAGATTTGTACGAGAGAAATCGACTTTGAAAAGTGAAGAGCTCCAAAGAGCAGCACGACCTCGATTGAATGGCGGAGCGGAGTGCCAGACTTTCAGCCAATCCGTGAGCGGCGAGGTTCAGCCTGTTAAAATACAATAGAAGATTGCGTGGCGCGGTTTCGACCAAAATAGCCTTGTGCATTTTACGAAGTTACTTGAAATATTGTAGTGGGGGTCCTGCATTGCTGACAATCTCCGGTTTACAAAAGTGCACTAACATAAATGTGGCTTTGCCAAAGATTCGACGTAGCTCAAATTTCTAACTTGTGGTTAAATGTTACAAACCATCGACGGCGCAGTAAAGCATGCATTATTTTTTACGCTGGGATCTTGCTGCATAATCAATTACTAAACATGGTCAAATAATTCGGAAGAAGCAGTCCCTTAGAAGATAGGGGGCAAGCTCTGAAGCTCGCCCTTTAATGCAAGCAATACAGTCCAGAGATTTAAATTAAGCCCTGTATGTTCACGTACCCATGTTAAGTGGTTGGCGGCTGCGGAATGGGTTGTGCGTTGTGTAAAACAAAAGTGCTTATGTATTGTTGTGTTAAAGAGCTATATTCGTTGCTGTTGTTCATATTTTAAAGAGACAGTTATGGAAAAAGAAAGATGAACGATGCTCATGCCCATCTACACCGTCAACTGCAAAGGCGGCCAACGACACACAATTTATTGATGTCAACGGAAAATTAACTTGGGGGATCTTTCTCTGCCTGGTGACCCTTTTCTTGCTATTTCGGTTTGTCGAGTAATACGAATAAAAGTCACTTCACATTTACCGTTTACCGAAGGTGCGAGATTTCGCTGCCTTTAAGTGTCGTGCATTTTCTTGTTTGCCCTTTGTCTGGACTTGTTTAATGTTGAGTACATCGTGTGCTAGCGTTGGTACGTGTGTGACTTACACACTTCGGGGTCGCATTTAGTGACCTCGTCGTAGAGTGCCTATATACGAGATGGGAAAGGCTACGTTGCACTTAGTACGAGGTGTAAGGTACATCGCGTTATTTACGGATAGACACGTATGATTTTAAGAGTTGGTATCCAGCTTCACCCTTCGGGCTCGCAATTAATTTTAAGGCGCCGTATGTGTGATTTTGTAGAGATAGAACAGCTCAAGCTTAAGATCAACGCTACGAATACAAATGAAGTCTTCCGTGTTGGGAAAGATTGTGCAAGGGGCTCACGTTGTCATTCATATTGATAGGTCCAGTGGTCTCGAATCAACCTGCTCGTTCAGGATATCGTATAATTGTGGTAGTTGTGGAGGTTGTACGGAGATAGAATACTTTACGCAGCATTAGCCAAGTACATAGATGGCTTAAATTTACGTACCACAAGCGTTTGCAGCTTGTACGACCCAGCCTTTTACTGGGCCAATCGATGGGTATGGCTTTGATCATTTGTCACTCTTGCCCGAGCGTGCGCTTGCCTCTTGTTTCTCTCATTGTTTGAGTTGGACAGTATTAATAGCGACTTGATGTGGTCATCTTGGTTTAGTGTAACCCTCTTTCCATAGCACATAGTGTGGAGTTGTTATACATTAGATTGTAAGCAGCTAAACTGACTTTGGAGCCATATGAGAAGATCAAGTGTAGAAACAAGCTCAAAGGCTTTCGGCGTGTTCGACTTTCTTTGGCTGTAACAAAATGTTGTGCTGCGGCATGCTCACTTGCACCGAACTTGAGTCATTGCAGTGCGTCAATCTCACGCCGAAAATTTACGAGTCTGTAATAGTCATTGGCGTACTGAAATGTAGGCCGCAGCTTTGCGTGGCCGTGGCCATTGACGATATCAATCTGAATGAAGAATGACACCGTTCGCCAACACACTGACAGACGTACGATCTCATACATGGTTTTCACCACTCCACTCTCTGCCTCATTTAGACGCAACATTATGCTTGAACAGCAAATGTGAAGTAACTGAACGAGTGGTTGTAAAGTGGAATCGAATACATACTAATGCTTGGCTGCCATGTGGCCTTAGCATTTATGGCCAGGGCTTGGAATGTCGTTGGTATCGACAACTTTGCGTGCAACTTCCACAAATAAATCCGATGTCACGTAGAGAAGCCGGATTGTGGATTGCTGACGAGGTTTTCGACCGAGAGGCTATTGTTTCGCCCGACCTATGCAGCTGTATACGAATCAATAGTATTGGCCCAAAGATAGATTGTGAGGTTGTAGTGCTACTTCGTTCTGCAACTTTTACAATCAATCAGCTTTGCAACGATCATCGTAGAACGAGGTCTGCCACCAAAATTGTGTCACGTCCTCTATGACATAAATTACATCTAGTGGCGATTGCCTTACGTGAAGTCAGCCGTATCAATTTCGTGATCGTGTTTATGTTCACATGCCACATCGTCGAATCAAGAGCATCACGAACGCGATTAGAAGCACAAAAATTCGGAAATAACCACAGGACCGACCCTTGGAACAAGCAGCTCAAGGGAAATTGCAGTCACTACAGCCTAATTTCAATGCGGCACATTTATTCTGCCGCATTGATCGATCACCATTTCAGATGACAAAGAACTAAATGAAGAGACATTACTGGTGTCTTAAACAAGTTGAAGCCTACCAGGGGAGCAGAAGGGCTGGTACCGCTTTTTTGCTTGGTGTGGCGATAATTTATTTGCAATGTTTCTCACAATACGCATCCTTTTGAAGTTCGACTCGCACCTGGTCCGTTGTGATGAGCTAATAAGCCTTAGAGTACATGATGCCAACTCGTTGCTGCTATGCCATGAGCATAGCGGCACTCATGTTTTACAATGACGTATCAGATCCAGCGAAGGATATACCACTCCTTACTTCCTCAATATTTTCAACGCTTAGAACAAGCGAGGGAGTCTTTGGATGTCTATTTGGCACCAAGATGTAGTGCGGTGGCATAGATGATGCTACGTGGTGATAGATTATGCTCCTAGTTTCTAAAGTGAAGGGCCTCTTACTTTGTTGCATTAATATTTATACAACTATCTGACTTTTAGCCGGAAAGTCTTCCTCTGAATAAAAGGAAGTGTAGTTCTCCTACACTTGGTCGCAGTCGTTGTCAATTCTATACCTAAAAGTAAACGACTGACTTTTGCATGGATGACGAATTTTACTCATCTCTCTGAGGCTCAGACATCGTGTTTAATAAGCTAGCAGCGTTTAATGGATCGAGCAGATTGACCACATTGTGGCTAAGGCCCAGAGGTGCTAAATGTGCATCTTGATACCTTTATGCAAATTGACGTCACGCTGATCGGGCCTCTGAGCTCGAACTTTGCCTCACATGTAAGATCTTTGTGTCTCCGCTGCAATTGATGGCGATATCTTGTTGCATGAAGTGTATTGGAATCAAAGACGATAATACTGGCTTGAAAGATGCTGCTACGGAGAGGCGTAGATGGCTGGATGAGCATGTGAATGGTGATAGAGTCAGTAGACGGTTGATGATAGCTTTGTTGACGTGTCAGTGATACATTTTATGTTAAATAGTAGGAAGGTACTTCGCGTTGAGTATCGCGCTGTCAGCTGCGTACATATGCAGAGCCGATAGAGTAAAATGAGCTGAAATGTCGATTATCAATATCCGATTAAGGTTCTGTAAAAGACAATCATTATTTCGTGTCGATTCAAAATTTACTGTTCCAACATCCTTATTCGTTAATTACAGCGTAGCCTTTGCTGTAATTCGTGTTTCAAGCTTCCACACTTCTATTGCTTCTGATACCGAAGCAGAAAGTGAGTGAGGTCTAAACTTAGAATAAGATAATGATGTCTTTGCTTGTTGCCATCGCACAAACCTTTGTGATTTCTTTATATTTATATGTTTGCAACAATTTGCTGCTTAAAACACCCTTGCATCACGTCTTGCTTTATATTCGTATTTCCATCACCTTGTGCAAATTCCCATGAGTGAAATGATCGCTCTGCAGAGGCAATCTCAAAGACGTTCGACAATCAGTTGTTGAAAGCGTACGAGTTCATGCGATCGTAAAGCCATATGAAATTCACTTTGCGTGTAGTTTTAAGCAATAAGAAGGCGCTACTGAAGACATGGACGAAGCCTCGAACAAGCTGATGTAATCTCTGTAAAAGGGAAGTAGAGGTAACTAGCATAAGTCATGTATTGGATTTTAGCGCAGCGTATGGCACATGAAATTGAGTCCAGCACCTAAGTGTGCATAAGAAAGAAATGAACGACGACTTTACAGCATCAAGAAGGAAACTAAAAAGCCTTGTCACACGAAGGACTCGGTCACGTAATGGACTTGGCCTGTATATTGTGCGAGTTGTTACCTAATTATAGTAAGATTATTCAGATCGCCTCTACATAAGTGAAACCCTGTCTAGGCCATGCGAAGAAATAATTACGAGCCCGAAGGGTGAAGCTATGAGTGAGTGCGCGCAAGGTTGAATGCCGAGAATTTATATTGTGCTTATCAGTGTATGTGTCTGTAAATAACGGGGTTAGGTGTACCCTACTCAATCTAAGTACGATCTAGCCTATCCCCCCTCATAGATCGATAAGCATGATATGTATACACTCCATGGCTAGGTCATAGTTGATGATGCACGCACATGAAGGGCATCAAAATCGATCAAACGTGAATTATGATCGCATAAACAAATGCTGGACGCTCATAAGAAAAGGCCGATCGCGTTGCCCAAGTTTGTTGTACTACTGTGCTAATTCATACATTCTCAGCATCATACTCATTCTTCAGTGTCTCTCATCGTATAGATTTTTGCAACTTGATTCAGTCAGTTGTCCGAGCTAGACTACTTATATCAAAGAGCGAGCTCCAGAGCTTGCTCCTCTATCTTGGTACAATATACACTGCAAAATGGTATAAATATTACTTCGCTCTCGTACTCGGCAGCACAGACAGCTTCGAACTTTCTACTCTTTATCAGCTAGTTTTCATGCTGGTAGTTGTATCTTTTCTTAGGGTTTTCGTAGCGCAGGCAACAATATCGGTGATTCTATTGTCTCATAAGCAACTCGCTAGTGTCGTATTTTATTCCACAAAAACCTGCATCCTCAGCAAGCTGCTTCATGTCACGACACCCACGACACCCACGAAAAGAACGAGAACCTACACATTGAAATGAACAAGCCACCCCCTAGACAATCAAACTCTATTCAAAGGGCGAGCTCTGAAGCTTGCTCCCCTATCTTAGTTCAGTGTCGGTGACATTAATGAGCCCAAACGGTAGGACGATGCCAAATTGCGCTCAAAAGGTTCGACAATGAACATACTAAATAAAAGCGTTCTCAGCAACTGATAGCTCTTCTCGTTCGCGTTCCGCTCAAAGAAACGGGATGGTGTACCGTTATGCCATGCACATGATCAGCTCATGGTCCTGAGAAGAATCACTTTGTTGTAGTTGTAATCGTTAGCACTGCCGACGCGTGAACAGGCAGTCCGATGAGTTACAAGCTGCAACGGATCATGCTTTATCAAGAAACAGCAGTCCCCCCATGATAGTTGTACGAGTTACAGTCAAAAAGGCTTAGGCTGATTGTGTTTCTCTAGCTGTTCAAACGTTAAAGGTGTTTGCGAGCAGTGCAATAGCTGCATCACCTGACACGACATCGTGAGTTGCTGTCTGAAAACTACGACAGCTGGCGCTATCTGTTCTCCGGTTGCATGGGTTCAGACAACCGAACCTGCCGATGAGCACTGCAGTCAACATGATTATCAGTAGATTACAGCCACGTAGACGAACGCACTAGCACACGTGTTCTCCAGTCTAATCTGCTGACGCAACACCGTGATCCTAGAGCAAGGCAATACAACTCGAATCTCGAATGTTATGACGACAGCATTAATGCCAGCGAACCCTGGTTGAACAGCACCACGACCTCGATGCCGTGATCCATCGAGTCTCAACTGCTCCCGTTATCAATTTAAGAACCTCAGTTCGAACTCTATCATCACAAAGGTGCCATAATGTGCTCGAAAGCTGCTGACTCGGAGTGGAAGCGTCGCTGTGATCGCAAGTCGTCTGGAACGAAGTCATCACCAATTGTGCAGCATAAGCTGATGGTGTCGCGCAAAAGACGCGCACTTCGAGCCCATACTGGGACGTGAGTACCGGCCATGCAAACCTTAACAGCAAAACGATCTCCCCATAAACACACGGCATGAACATGACGCTTTTGACAGCCTCGCATAGATCAGCTAGTCCTGCAGTAATGCCACTCTACGACATGCCACAGCGAAACATGAGCGGCAAAACATGACTGATGTTAAGCAGTGGCCACGGTCTCACCTTCCATAAACAGCAACTATTGTAGCATAGCAACCTTAACGCAAAAGGCACGTGTCCGATGCACGAAGCAAACAAAGCTGGTACGTATGGCACGTACAATGTCTGGGCGATACACCAAACGCATCAGAGGCTGTGTGTCATCAAGAAGCTCACCCACTTTGCCAATGCCACCCGTATAGCATGAAGCATCGACCGATGCCAGCGCGTTCGCATGTGCACGTCTGATGACAAGGTCGACGAGAACCCGAATGGCGCCCTTCGGCTTCAGCAAGTATCCCATTGTGATCAATAAACGACCCGAAGGCAAGTTACCCGGCACAAATCGTCGCAAACTCGCAGCTCCCAAGCCACCGTCAGATACATCACTAGAAGGCAACACCGACGCCGTGAGGCCTGAACAGTCTTCTCTGCAGCATTAGTGCTCGATCTTAAAGCATGACAATGAAAAGTATTCGGATCACCACATGGATGTGGACAAAGGGCATTTTCAACGAGACGACAGGCAGCAGCAAGGAGAAGGCGGACCGACGTAGAGCACGCAAGAGGCGACCACGAGGGCTGTATGAGCCGCAGCACGACCACAACAATGAGACAACACAACCGAAGTGCACAGTAAAAACGTCAACTTGTTCAATTTCTAGCGAGCTTTCCGTCTTGTGATCACAGTGATGTGCAGCGGCCGCACGTGCGCGGCAACGGGGGAACGAGCTGAGCGGCTCCCGTCCGCCCAGAAGAAAACGACCCACGAGGTGGAGACTTGACGAACGCACAGTCCGAATCCCGAGCGCTTAACCACGTTGTTGATTAATGTCCGGTGCAACCGAGCCGACAACACTCCATGAATCTGTCACGTTCTTTGGGATGGTCCGAGTAGCACTTTTGTGCAAGTTTCTCAGGGGGGGTTGGTCCACAGAAAAGGGCATTTTTGCATGTTACCTTTTCGCACAAATTCAGGCAGCAACCGTGGAAGTCAAAGATGTGAGCACACTTTTGACCCAAGTAATTGCGATGATCATCGGAATACCCTGAACAAACTTCGTAATGTTTAGGGCACGGAACTATGACTTGGCCGGAGACAGACGTGGAGGTCGTCGCAGCGATGAAAATGACGAGTCCGCTGCAGACGCGCATCGTGGCTGAAGTTCGTGCGGACTAGTTCTTTCGTGTCAAATTGCGGAATGAACGATGGGAAGCCAACGCTCAAAAGACCGGAGCGCTAGGCGCGCAGTTGCACAGGAAGGAGGGGCTTCCCTACAAGCGAGAAAGTATTCGCCAACGCATGCGCAAGCTGTGCATAAACAAGTTTACAACATTTCGTGAATCGTCAGTGGCTAGGTCTGCTCGCGTGGTTCTTCCCAGCGTCCACAGTAAAATTCCATGATTCGATATCGCTTACTATCCAGTCACAGTCTTGTTTTATCACACGGATCAGCTGCTCCCGCGTCCACAATCGAAAATGTTTCGGTCCTTGTCCAAACTCAAAGTATTGACAGATTTTGTGGTAACAAAAGGGATCTCTCCCTTCCCTCGAGTCTTACCTACGACAGTTGGCGAAAAGCGGTCGACACCCACTGCATCTGGAACAGCTGTTTGGCGGATACCTTGCGGTCGATTTTATATCGGGAGGCCTGCAATGAACAACTTTTCAACAGTGCACAGGCTATTCGAAAAAGCGATCAGATGTGGAAGCTGGCGTGGTCCTAGGACGCATGACAAAGCATAGGCACCAAGAGCTCCTAACAGCTGGGAGAGGAGATGAAGGAATGTAAGAGGACTGTCGGTCTTGCACCTCACCATTGGTCACAAACACTCGATGTTTACGGTCAATCTTCAACAACTATGGTCTGACGTATGACGAAGGTGTCCCCATTGACACTAATCGGGGAAGATAGACGTCGCGATTGCACAATGTTAAGACCAGACGTAGAAAAGTTTCATGATCGTGTATTTACGTGTTTATTGTGTGCAAGATGCCTGAAAAGTCTGATTTAGGATATGTGTGCCCGTCATGCAGCGGATCGTGGCTGACTCCCGCGTAAAGCAGGTGTCTACGTGGTTCATGAATTAATATTCGAGGCAGGCATGAAGCCGGTCCCCACATTCAGCAGTAGCAGCGGTTCGATGCTCGCGTAATTTAGTGGCCTTCAGCTGACGAATACCTCGTTCCCAGTACATAATGACGCCTGCCGATGGTGAATTGAGGGTTCCACTGCAACTGCCGCATGTTGCTTCCATCCACACAATTTGTGACCAGACGAGCTACGATGGACCCAAATGTGCTCAAATTGCGTTACGGCGGTGTCATAATCACCTTGAAAACGGTTGTGCTACTGAAGACACAACCGATGTGGGACCGGTGGAGCCCGGTGATCGGTGCGGTGGCCGAATTTTGTAAACGATGAGGTACGTCGCGCACTTCCCAGTCCAGTTGCCAATCAATCGTCTTCTGACGCTTGTGCGTTGGAGCAGATCCAGAAAATATGCGCTGCATTCTTATCGAACCCCTTGCATTGCAATAACTTACAGCAGCTATTGTCTAGCAATATTAAGGTCAGACGTACGGAGCTGCGAGTACTAGTATAGACAACTGGCAAAGCGGACGTCAGAAGTTGTAGCATTGTACAAAACAGAAGTAGGATCACTCACTTTAAAACAAGAAACGTATCGAATGATGGCATGCATATTGTGGAAAGGAGTTAAGACTTAGATTCGTTGGGCGGCAGATATGTGCACCTCAGATAACCAGGAGCACAGAAGCGTAATACGCCTGATACAATCATCATCATTGGAAACAACATGGCAACAAAACATTGAACTTGACCTTCATCGCTAGCGTTCATCTATACCATGCTTTATGTCAATAGATGATCATGAAACTTCTTCATGTACACCATGCTTTGAGCGCTGCAGAAGGGTGTTTTTTGTTCAGACGATGCGAAACGAGAAAACTTGATGACGACACTGTTCGGACGAAGCTAGGCCTCGTTTGTCGAAACGTGCCGCAAATCACTACGACAGTAATACCTCGGAGTATGCTCAGACGTTGTTGTCATCATCCGATTCTGTTCGCCACTGGGTTTTAACACAGTTAAGCACTAACTTGTCGAGTGCAGAGTGCAGTCGGCGAGAATGGCCCTCCCCCACAGTCCATCGAGGCTTATTCAGTGATGCAAAGTGGTTTTCTTTATCTGATGATACTTTTCGCGACGGCTACAGGGTGCAACGCCGTCGATACACGACCTTCCCGATTCAACGATTTCGAGTGCAAAGTCGGATGCGCGACTTTAGCCTCAACCCTTTTTGTCAGAACCATGACAGCTCGTCGAATTATTGATCGGTTTGTTTGCGAGCGCTTCAACGTGTCGAAGGGAATGAAAATTTCAAATCTTCTGTTGTCTGTGATCGCCACCGTGGACGTGAGCAAAGAAAAACCACTGAAGCCAGGATAGTGGGTGGGAAGGGTTCTCATACACGTGCAGACACGACAGGGCGACAGTCCTTGTTAGTTTCAGGAAGCGTTTTCAGCCACCACCCTCTCGTTATCAGCCAGTACCCTCTCCTTAATTAGCCAATACCCTCACCTTAATTAGCCACCACCCACCAATAAACTTTATAAGGTTATATTAATTTCAATAGACGCTGCATTTCACTGGATAAAAGCTAGGCTGGGTGTTTTTAAGCTCAATTTTTTGTTATCATCACACCTATGTCCGCTTTTTGTATGCTGTCATTTAGAATTAATACCACGTTTGTCTATTCACTGCTGACGACAATGGAAAGTCTTGGGCCACCGCCCAGATTGCGTGCGATGCGTGGAGGAAGTACAGGCAGCAAGTGAAATCGGATACCTTTAAATACACCAACATTTCCTGCTAAATACACCTACATGATGTATATCCATCCATTTTAGCCAAAATAAAGTATAGTAACTAATGCAGAGGAAACATACACTATTGATCAAGAGAACATCCAAATTATACTAAATATCCGATGCATTTTTATCATTCATATCTATCGCACTTAGCAAAATCACACCTTCGATTATGCTACAATGTCTACTTCGAAGTATTGTCCAAAGCCTCCGAATGCGTTTAACCACACAAAGCCTTTAGATTCGCTTTCTGGACGATGTTGTGAACATCACTTGCTTTTAGAATGACACTTGTCTCTTCAAGTGGCTCATTAAATCCTATAAAAAATTACGAATAGATACAACCACGTTTAATCAAATGTTTAGATCACCAAAGAAGCACACATACCCGTGTTGCAGCCTCAGACTCATGCGTCTGGACGACTACGGCCTCTGTATTGTCTTCTTCCCTTTACACGCGCCTCGCCGCTGGCAGTGCTTATAGCATCATCTTGGTCATAGATTGGGAATGGCTAGTGTGACTATCATTAAACAAATCGTCGACTATACTCGATCTTCGGGCAGATCGTGTCAAAGGTGATAGCGATTCCATACGAACAGCCAACCTTTTCGTTCCACGTTTACGCAAGGGCATCATTCGCTCATACAATCCACGATAATCTTTTTCTTGCGAGCAACTGAGGTGACCGCGCTTGATGCCGTGCGATCTTGTGCGGAAAAGCTAGCAGTGTAACGGGGCACCCTGAAGCTTGTACTGGTGACAGTACAAGCTACTTATTCTGATAACAGAATAAGGCGGTGCCTCGTAACTTCACGTACACTCGTACGTGCAGAGGAAGACGGTAAGAAGAAGCGAGTACTTGGTTAGAGTAAAAAGTAGAACTGTATTTATAATAGTTAATGTCTGCAATAAATCACTATTTATCTTCATCTAACTATGTCTAAATACAAATGTGTAAATCAGTTATCTGCTCACCACTCATTGCGTGCGTCTGTCGTGGCGCGTCTTCGTTGGTTGATATAATGGCCTATATCAACCAATTAGGAACTACTTGGAAGTGCTACCGAATATTGTCCTTATGACAATATTCTGAGAATATAACTCTTATAGTTATATTCTATTAACAATTTCTTATAAATTGTTATGTAACGATTCACCCCGTTACATCACCCCCCTTAACCATCAGTCACTTTAGTGACTGATTGACTAAATGGATACTCGTCCCAAATCATTTGGGACGGGGTTTGCACTTGTTGGTCCGCGTCCACTTTCCAACATCTCATCGCATGGTAAACAAGCCCATGCGATGCGCGAGCAAGGCCGCCGAGAGCGCGTCTGCACGTCTCTGTGCGGACGCCGAAGCAGAAACTACAGCAACTGATGTCCCATCGGTTGCTGAATCGACTCAGCCTGTATCACCTGGTGATGCAGGCGCTGGTCATGAAGACACTCGTGTCTTCACAGAGTACGAGCTCGGTGTCTCGTACTCTCCTGATACGGATGACGGATCCGTATCGACGGCAATTGAATCCAAGCCGCCTGCCAAGCGTGGCATGGACGATGCTTTGCGTCGCAGCATCTTTGGTTCATCTGATGAGTCAGATGAACCATCGCCGAAGCGAAGGCGCTCGAGGTCGCGAGACTCGGGCGCTAATAGTGGTGTCGTTTCTCCAATGGACACCACTTCACAGCGAGGTGCCAGTACTTCTGTCGGCACGTCGCAGGAAGAGCGGGACCGCAATGTGTTGCGTCTCGCTCCAGAAAAGAAGGCATGGATGCCTCCTAAATCCGTCATGGATCACTTGTCGGCGACGACGAGTGATCGTTATCGAACACGATTGTTCGATTCGTCAAGGATTCATCACCTTGACCCCAGCGCGAAAGACTATCGCGCTGAACATGAGTTCTTCATCGATGCTTTCTTCAGACATCGATGGTACAGTGGGAATCACAAACGTGATGGTCCCTCACTACTTCAGGCGTGGAACGCCTACATCCATAATCTCGAGGATGTAGGTCGTGACGCTTGGAACGACAAACTTATCAAAGCTCGTGATAAGTTTGAAAAGCGAACCCCGACAGGTGCACGCTACAAGCTGCATCGTCTGTCAAGGGAGAAAGGATTACCCTGCCTCTCTTGGGGAGACTCGTGCCCATGTTGTGTGAACAACTCTGCACGAGCACCTAAGGAGGCTTACCTCCTTACCAGCCCGTGGTGGCGCGTACGTGTCTCTACTGAGATGTACGAAGGGATTGACAACCTGAAATCCCTTTACGACCGTGC